GCACCCCAGGACACGGTTGGCCCTCCTGGCTGCCAGGGCACACTGCTGGCTCATATTCAACTTGCTGTCTACCACGACCCCCAGATCCCTCTCTTCTAGGCTGCTCTCCAGCGTCTCATCGCCCAGTCTGTACGTGCAGCCAGGGTTTCCCCGTCCCAGGTGCAGGACCCGGCACTTGCTCTTATTGAACTTCATGCGGTTGGCGATCGCCCAGCTCTCCAACCTATCTAGATCCCTCTGCAAGGCCTTTCCACCCTCGTTCAAGTCCACAACTCCTCCAAGTTTGGTGTCACCAGCAAACTTGCTCAAAATACCTTCTATTCCTACATCCAGATCGTTTATAAAAATATTGAAAAGTACCGGCCCTAAAATGGAGCCTTGAGGGACCCCACTAGTGACCGCCCGCCAGCCTGATGCAGCCCCATTCACCATAACCCTTTGGGCCCTGCCTGTTAGCCAATTGTTCACCCATCGTATGATGTTTTTATTTAGCTGTAGGACAGGTGTCAGGAGCTCCTTGCTGAAGGATGCAGTGAGGGTGCCATGAGTGTAACAAGAATAAAATTGCCATATGTTGTTAACTTTCACTCAGCAGCTGCAGTTGTATTATCTTTTGGAGAAGGTCAAGGTTAAACTCCTGATCAGAAATTTTCCTTTTCCACATGCTGGGTGCTGTTATCTAGGCTTACAAATTTTACATTAGCACTATGAATCTTACTGGTTTTAGTGCAATCTACCTTCCTAAATATTTTTCCCTCTTACTCCTGCCAGCTGTGGCTGTATTCTGAGTCATTAGCTCAAGAGCTAGGGAAAATTGTTGCATGCTGGAGAAAAGGCATGTCTTTTGCCACTCAAAGCGTTTGTATTTAGAGAGGAATGGAAGACAGTTTTCTGCATAAATGTATTTTAAAACTTCTGAAAAGCTTTGAAACGCTTTGGGATATAAGTCTTCCATAAATGCTTGCAAGCTCAAGCCAAACAAATTCCATCTAGACATATAAATGTTTAACCCTGAGGGTGGGAAGCCCCTGGAGCAATTACCCTGGAGACACAGTGGTTCTGCATCACTTGAAGTCTTTAAATCAGTTCTGGAGGCTTTTTCTAAATATATGTGCTAGTTCAATGAAAACTTCTGGGATTGCAACAGGGGCAACTAGGCACTTCTCGGCCAGTTACACTATAAAAAGGGGCCAAACTACGTAGTCACAGATAGAAAAACACAGCGTTCAGAAATTCAGGATTCTGAAAACATACTTACCTGTACTGAGGTCATTACCTAGGGTATGTTCCATATTTCTTTCAGCCCCTGCTGCCTTGGTAGCTGCCTTGAACCTTCCTGTCTTTAATGTAAGGCTTTGACAGGAAAATATTTTTTCTTTCCTATCTCTCTTTAGTTACTAATTTTCCTGATTTTATTCATCAAATTGAATTCTGTCTGTTCTGAAACGAAGTTTATCCGAAAGAAATAGATAGGCCTGTGACTGCAAAAGAGATTGATCATTGATTATGCCTGAAAGCTCCTTGACTGTTCTTTCAACTCCTTGATGTGAGACTGGCAGTGAATGAAGAGCTAGGAGCTAGGGAGCTAGGAGCTAGGAGAGTCTAGTCTATCACAGTTTTTTTTTTGTTTGTTTGTTTTTTTTTTTTTTCCTCTGGGTGGAAGCTAATCTTATCAAAATGAACAGAAATGTAATATGTTACTTAACATCAGTAATATCTGGATTTTGAACCTTAATAACAGAAGTCTTGATTTTGCAAATAGTGCACCAATTCACGGCAGTGTCAAGTAGACAGGACTGATTTAATTCCAAGACCTCCCTGGTATGTGAACACACACTTTTTTTTTTCCTTTTTTTTTTTTTCTTCTGACATGTAGCTGAAGTGTGTAAGAAACTTATTAAAACCATCATGTGATAACACTGAGGAATAAAATGAGTTCACTTAAGTGATGAAAGATGTGGTTCCACAGAAATTAAAGCCGATTAAAGGTTGGGCTGCTAAAGTTTCACCTCCAGTTGCACATTTCTCCTGCTCTCTCTTATTCTGGCAACATTAACACTGAGTGCATGACCAGGAGATCATCCTGGCTGAAAGTAAGCCAGTGTTTTAATGGGGTTAAGATTATTTAATTAATTTTCCTGAACCAATGCATCACACAGCTGCACAATTACCAGTGTTGATGCAGTAGGTCAGTGCAGGAAGAAATACCTGGCCCTGGGAGGCCAGGCTTAGCTTGGCTGTACTAGCTGTGGAAGCACACCACCATGAATTTATAATCTCTGAGAAGGGCTTCACCCAGTGCTATACAGATTGCCAGAGGCAGAACGTGAATTGTCAGTGTCCCATACATTTCAGAATTATGAAGAAAGTGCCAAAAGATAAATGGTATGCTCCAGCAAGGACTGAGGATGTTCATAGCACAAAGAGAAGCAATATTGATCATGGGCATGGTACTCCAGAGACAGGAGGCAGCTGGTCTTAATGTATTTCCACTGTGAAAGGAAAAAAAATGACCTTCCTGAGGCATGGAGAGAACTTCCCTGAGGGAGCCATACTGTCTCAGCTGGAAAGAGCCATTTGGGCAGAGAACTTCATAGTGGGCTCACTGCGATGGGAAGCTTCCACAGAGAAATTTTCTGAGGTACCACCAGCAGATTTTTGCTTGTGGCTGATCCTGTTACAAATCCCACTTTCTCCCCATTCTCTGCCTCTTTCCCACACAGGAAACAGTAATTTGATGGCTTATGCTGTTCTCTTTGTTTTTGAGGGGAACTGCTGCTTTGGAGCAACCTGACTTTCTCCATCTGTCTGTGTATCCGTCCCACATATGTTTTAGCCTGCATTCAGCACGGAAGGAAAAGGGTAACTATTAGAGAGGCAACAGTGTATTTGGCTTTACATTCCTGGCTTTCTCCAGCTCACTAGTGCTGTGTTTGCTGGCTCGGAGAGCTGTCCTCAGCGAGGCACCAGAGGAGGGCCTGAACAGCAGGCCAAACAGCACCACGTGGGGTCGAGAGTGCTGCTTTGCCCAGCCTGCAGGCCCATGCTCTGCTTTGCTCTCTGCTGAAGAAGAAAAGTGCCCGTGGGATCCTGCCAGTGCACAGCTGTATTTCATTTGCTCGGATTTGTATGTAGTGGGTTAACAGTGAGTTTTTTTTTTTGTTTTGTTTTTGTTTTTGTAATAAAATCACTAGATTATATGCTATTAGTTGAAAACTGACTCCATCAGTGTTTCAGGAGGTGAAGTATTTTAACAAGCATCCACCAACCTCATGGACTATTTATTTAAACCAATAATTTATGCTTAAAAAACGAAACAAAACGAAACCAAACCAAACCAAGCCAGCCCAACCCAACCAACCAACTAACCAAAAAACCCAGCCTGTTGGAATGGTGTGTGTGTGTGTGTGTGTGTGTAAATCTCCATGTTGCCCAAATCAAATTACTCCTCAGCCCAACCATTAAGCATTTCCTTAAAAGAAAAGAAACCTGCCCTGATCCTCACTTGCAGGATCCTCACTGTTAAAGAGGGTACTAGCAGGGAGTGGTTTCCCATGCCTATGTCATCCTAAGCATGTGTGCATAACTAAGTGCTTACTGTGCAGTTGCTCACATCCTGCCACTGCTTAAACAAACAGTATTTATATGTATCCAGAGCACAACCCTCCAGTACCCCCTTCCCTTTTAGCCACATAAAACTGCATACTTTTTATTATTTTATTTATTTTATTTTATTTTATTTTATTTTATTTTATTTTATTTTATTTTATTTTATTTTATTTTATTTTATTTTATTTTATTTTATTTTATATTTTATTTATTATTTTATTTTTATGTCTACACAAATCTAAAGCTTCTGGGCTTAGAGGCTTAAGGAACACTCTCATTTTTCCTTTTTTCCCCCTTTCCTAAGAGGCAAGCAGAGTGTTAGCAGGAAGAATAGGGAACTGCAATGTGAACGACTGGTAGACAGTGTGTTTATAGTTCTGGTTTGACTTTGCAAACCAAAGTCATCCTGGTTTGCACAAACCTAGTTGTCACAGTTTCATAGACCTTACCCCTTGCTTGATCCAGCTGAACTGCCTCCCTGTGCCTTCCTGGCTGCAGAGCACTTGACCTGCTTGCACAGAAGAGTCTCTTGCCTGGGCTCTGTGCAGTCCTGCCCACGCCACTGCCCCCTGTACATTCAGGGACTGATCCTGATGCCTGGTCTTTTGGTTGCTTCATGGGAATTTGTGTGCCAGGGGAATTGTGGAAGCACTTTTCTGAAGAAGAACAGGCATTGCATGGTACCAGGGTTGCTTCTGTTATGTGAGCTTTATGTTGATGCAGTGCCCACACTGACATCCTGTGCAGATGAGCCTGGCCTTTAGGAACATGACGTCTGACTTCCTCAAGAGCTTTGTCTCACTGACAAAGAGGCAGTCATTTTGAAGGGAGTGTGGACCGTGATAGGATGGAACTTCTTCCAAAGAAGTGACATTTAGTAATTAAATCAGATCCTCAGAACTGCTCATCGGTCAGGGCCAGAGAGCTGTGGATCTCTTTGGAGCTATGTAAACAGGTGAGGAGGCAGTGTGAAGCTCTTGTCACTTGGCAAAGTGAGATGCCAAGGAGAAATGGATGCGTGATGGGTGACACAATGCTGCGTTGCTCCTTCCCATCTACTGTGCTTCCTGGGCTGATCAACAGTGTAATTCAGAGCAGCTAGCAGTCAAAATAACTTACATATGATACAGACTGATACAGACTAAGGGAGGCATTAAAGGCATTTTCCTGTTTCTGTGTGGAAGCAGTGTGTGCAGGTCTCCCAGCACATGCTCATCAGTCACAGTGCCAAAGGCAGGCACCAGGGCAAAATTGGAAAGTGTGAAAGGTGAAGAAGCTCTGGTGAGTTTTCTGCAACAGAAATGAAATGAAATGCACTGGCAAGACTCTCATGTGAATGAATTACATCTGATTGTTTTTGTGGTTATATTTGGTGGCATTAGAAACAAATATTTAAACTTTCAAACTTTTATTTATTGCTTTATGCTGTCAGATATTTTCCACATCAGTGAGAGGACATATCATTTGCCATCAATATTTCTAGCAACAGTACTTACAAGTTGATTGCCTATGGTATTTTGGATTTTTTTTATTTTTATTTTTAATTGATGAGAAAATGTTTTATGCTGTGTTAGGTGTTAGCCTTACTTCTCCATGCATAAAACCTTCTTAAGAGCACGAGCTGGTACACGAGCCCAGATCAGTGAGGAGCCACTGCTGATGGTCTGTTTAAAGTACATTCCATGAGTTTGAGCTCAATTTTGTCTTTTATTTTATTTTATTTTTTTTTTTCATTTGAAAAAAAATCTCTTCCAGATGGACCCTGCTGTGATACTTCTCTAACACTAAGGCACTTGTCTATTCTCACCCTTGCTGCCTCTGGCATCCAAAATGAATTGGATGGCTTAATACAGGCTGTTCCAGATTTCATAACCATACTGGCCAAAGAGAAGGGCTAGACTTTGTGGTTTCATTAAATTTCTAGTCTTCGTCTTCTTCAGTGATCACTGAAAGAATGATAATGCTTAGCACCACATTTGCTTCTCAGAGTGACAGAAGCAGAATAACATTTACTGTTGCATTGATGTCTCCATATGTGGGATTGAGAATGGGAGCAATTCAGTTTTATCTCAGTGAAAAGACAGGGGAAGGCAGAAACATATAATAAGAGAAGATGCTGTAACTTTGCTTTTTTCCTTATAGATCTGGGTAAATAACATTTAGGTTGCGTATTATCAAACTTCATATCAAAATATATATTAAAAATGTAAGAACCTTACAGGAAAATGTGATTAAAATAACTTGGTATATGCCTAGGTTTTAGACTGGATTTTTATCAACTGAAAACAGTTGGGTGGAGATAGTGAAAAGCAATGGGGGGGGAAATGATGATAAACCAAGATGCTTTTAGTGTGAGAAATATGTATGATCAATAGAAAAAGGATATCTGATTGTCTCCTCCCCTACTCTTTTGCCAATGAAAGTATTAGACATTGTCTTTGTTTTAGTATCCACAAATAAAAACTGAGACAGTTAGTGCATAAGACCATTGCTATTCTTACATATACTTTTAAACAAAAGCATGAAGAAAAAGGTTAAATTGATTATTTCCATACTGTATTCCACAGCTGTTATGTAGGGCCATAGTAAGCATTAGTGACTCCAAGCTTTCCATCTGTATACACTATGTGTGTATACACATGTGTATATACAGTATGTGTGAAAATCTGACATTCAAAACAGTTTGAAAACTTCCATGTTAAGAATCAGATAACTGAATGAATAAAGTTAATTTTATGCGAACTAGCCGAAATAATTAGTGACTCACTGACAGTTATCATTAAGAACTTGGGAGGACTTTAATGGTCTTGAAAATCTGGAAGAGAGTTAACACTTGGTTCACCTTTGTCTACAAACTGAGGTGTCAGATTACACTGACAAAGAATTAATCAAATTTATTTATGAATCAGTGTTTAGGCACAAAACAAATAAGGTGATCATTAGCTTTTTGTTTCATAGGATAACTTGCAAGGAGGGTCAGAAGAAAGCAGTAGATACATCTTGGTAATAATGTTGACAAAATCACATGCATCATTCTTTAAGCACACCATCCACTAGACTGTATTTCATTAGCCAAATTGGTGCAGTAGGGGTCAGGAAACCTGTTTCTAAAAAGCTGCAGCAGCTATTTCAGATGTTGATGCCACAGAGGCCACTATACTTCCTCTACTATTTCCAGGACTTTAAAGCTGGAAAAAAGACCATACTGAAGAACTCTGCGGGTTATGCCATGCTGGTGACCTAACAGTACCTCCAATGGCAAAAACTAGGATTCAAGTCTTGCTAATGTTAATAGACTGGGTAAGAGATGCAGTGCCTAGTACAGAGGAGTGCAAATACCAGGCACCAGATGGATAAAAGCAACATGCAGTACAAGAAATGATGTATATCTTGTTAGCAGTTATACTGGACTATGAAGTGACCAAGCCAAATGTGAAACAGGAGTAGTCTTGATCTGAAGTGTGGTTGCAAAACATTCAAGACTGTTTTCTAGCTATTGGAAGTGTGTACCCAAGTATAAGAACCCAAAATGAGCGAGGGTGCAGATAAAATAAAGAGATGGGAGGGGAAGAGTAGAGAGTCAGATTTCGGAGAGAAGCTGACAAAATGAGTTCATATAGACCACAAGATGGTAGAGGAAGGATTGGCCAAGTGTGAAAGAAGGGATCTTCTGATAGGTAGAAGTCAGCTAAAAAGGGCAACAAAAAAGTGTAAACTCTACCTACAGAGAAGTTAGCTTAAAAAGAACAAAACAAAACAAAACAAAAAGCAAAGAAAACAAACAAAACCTTAATTTACAGTTTGTATGATTACGGCCATATAGTAGGAAAAAAAAATCCAGCTAATGGCTACTTTGGAAAATTCTCCCTCATGGTTTCTATGGCTTTTAAAGGCATGCATGTAGACATACATGTCTGGAGTAGCTTAGTTGTGCTTACCTTGCCACAGAACAAGGGCCTGGAATGGGTCTCCTGTTGGGAACCTTTCAGCACTGCATTTGTCTGCTTGTTGCACAACTGTTTTTCTTTCTCAGTGAAAATTAGTAGGGAGAAATCTGGAAGCTTGCTTTGAAGGTTTTGAAGGCTTTTTGACTTGACTGGTAACCAGAGCCATATGCATGAAAAAAGAGTAATTATTCTCTGGAGAACCTAAGCTGGTCTGCTGTTCATTTTATTATCAACGCCAGCTTTTATATTTGTTTTACTCAAAATGAATGACTGAGTTCCCATTACCTTCAGTGCAGTTGCTTGGAAGTTGTAGGGGTTGTCTTTGGCCTGCATCTGTGTGTGCATGTGCTTATATGAGATATTCACCTGCAGTGTAGGGGTCTAAAAAGTGTAGGAGGGAACACCATACTGGGGAAACTGTCAGTAAATGAGAGCAAAATCATCATTCCCTTTTAGAAGAGGCATTATAACATTTGTTCGAAAAGGGGCAACAGCAGAACCAGCTTCACATTCAAAACCTGATTTTGTCTTTGTTAAGAGAAATACTTTATTCATGTTTTCTTCCTCGTCATTCTGCTCATGAGTAGGATTCCTTTTATACACTTGATGCTTCAATGAGTTGCAAGTTCTGTTAATGAAAGTAGTGGGAACATATAAGAAAAGACTGAATAATAGGGGTAGTATGCATTGCTTTACTCCAGGAGTTGCTGAGAAGAGTTATAAGATGTTTTTGATGGTTTCTGTGTACAGAAAAGGAATATACTTTTATGAGCCTATATACTTGCCATGAACTTAGGACCAGCAATGGCCTTATGCCTCTAGAAGAAAAACAGAGGCTAAAAAGAATAAAGCAAGGCAATTGAAGAGTTCAAACAGATCTCCAAGACAAGGCATAGAATCTTAATGACTGGAGACTTTTAAAAAGAAATTAAGACAGGGTTGATCCTGTCTTGGGGAAAGAGGATGATGGTGAATCATGTATGTTTCATGTAACAGCTGTTTGCTGCTGTGGTAATACAGAATAAGGACAGAGTACTTCAAAAGCTTTGCTACTTTGGCTTTTTTTAAAGATTAATAAACAACACATCAGACAGCAGTAGTTAACTAAGTATCCTGCATTACCTGTACAAAAATATATATAAATACAAGTTTGCTTGTTTGTTTTCTTTTTAGAGAAGGAAAGTGTTCTTTTGTAAAATATTCAGAAATCTTACTGAGATGTTGCCAAGTCACAATTCACAGAACAAACACATGAAATTAGATTCACACTATGCAGAGATGACACAGTGGCTCCTCCAGATCTGATCCTTTTTGTTTATCCTCAGCATGGTTACACAGCTACCATTCAACACATGATCATCTGAATATGCTTAGCTATCAAACAAATGTAAATACTTCCCTGTGCTGCTTTTTGTTAACTACAGTACTAGAAATATCCACCACGTTATTATTATTGTTATTATTGTTATTATTGCTATTATTGCTATTATTATTAAGGAATTGTCCTTCATTCCATGCATAACTATCATTTCACAAGTTAAAAATGCCACCCCTCCATCATGTCATATTTTATAAAGCACTCAGTGCACAGTGAAGCAGATCCTCAATTAAATGCAAGTGAAAAATACACTATTACCATTGATTTTAGAGGAACAACATTCTGGGGAGATTTAAAAAAATAAAAAAATAAAATAAAAACAAAAACAAAACAAACAAACAACAAAAAAAAACAAAAAAAAACACAAATAGCTTTATCTGGACAAAATAATGTACAATTATTAATATTGCACTTTTTATACAAGAAATCCTAATAAATATACACAAAAGATATACATTTACATACATAGAAAGACATTCTTCTTTTTTTTTTTTTTTTTTTTTTTTAAATAAAAAGTTACACGGAAGCTTAGCAACACTATTTCTTGAAGACCCATTCGTAGTGAGAGCATCCACTGCCGGATGTGTTTTGAAGCAACCAAACTGAAGACAGTTTAATGTCATGTATCTGACACTGACCTCAGAATTAGATTCCCAGTTTTGCTGAAAAGTCCACGTTACGGAATCTGTAACACAGCAGTACTTGAACAGCCTTTCATTAATGTACCACAAGGCCTGAGCCCCACTGGGGTAAAGCACAGCCAAACCTTTGATTTAAAGATGGTCTCAAGTCAAAGCCTCAGATCCAGATAGATCTCTTTTAAATTTTTATAATGCTCAAACCTCCTACTTTGCAAATCCCTTCTAATTTTAAAGCCCTATTCAGAGCAGAGCAGGAATTGCCCAGGAACTAAAAGGATGAAGTACTTCAATGGATGAATAGTCACTGCAATTGGCTAGGGAGAAAGACTCACAGACAGCCTGCAATGTGTGATGTTTGAGGCTCACTTTTTAGATCATATTTTTAGGGTGTTAAACCCAGGCTTAAAAAATATGCTGTTTTGTACTACCCATTTTCTTGTGGGAGGCAGCCAGAGAGGAGCAAACTTATCAAAATTTATTGGTGTTAGCCCTCTGGGACGGATGCTGAATCTATTCTGTTTCTACTGAGTAGGAACAAAGCCAAAGATATCAGAAATTTTTTCTACTACTTGACTGAAAGGCTTGGCTGTCAGGAGAGAAAATATTCATATTAGCAGGAAAGGAAAACCCACTTCCTCAAATTTCTTACCCAAACCTCAGCTCTCAAAGAACCTGAACTCTGGGAACTAGTACTCCTATTTATTCCTATGAAGTGTTAGTAGGATGTAGTATGTGAAGCAGCTCTTGTTACCACAAATGATATTTTCCCTGTCTGTGTTATGCACAGGACAACATTTGCAGGTTTGTGTTACAGTCTGTTAGTAGCAGATCATACTTTCTTTCCTTCTCCTAGATAATAGCTAACATAACCACCTCATCTCTGTGCTGAAGCAACCCTCCCAGTGCCGAGCCTCCCTCTCAAATACACTCTGGGAACTTTTTCAGATGTCTTCTAGACTCACTCACATTACACAACATTGTTTAACTTTATCAGACATGACTCTAGATCTTCAAAGATCAACAGCTATCTCCCACTGAGATCATTTGAAGGCCTGGGAGGAGAAGGAGAGAGGGGTATAGAAAGGTATACAACCAATCTTGGTTGTAATAATAGGATTATAAAGCAAAATCATATGCTTATATTCCCAAACTACTCTAAGATATATGGTTGGTATACTGCACAGATGAATGTTTTGTTTAGTATTTTTTAATTATTTTTATTTTTATTTATTTTTATTTATTTATTTATTTTTTGCTTTGTTTTGTTTTGTTTTCTGCAAACCCTATGATCTGTCAAGCTGTTTGATTCTTTGATTCATGTTGTGGTGGTTCAATGTGATGCTAGGTTTACATTTTGATGTGCTTCCCCATCTATCTATTGGTGTATCCCCAAGTGTATACAAACATTTTGGGGCAGCCCCACTCCTCTCAGGCCCTTTGCTGGTGGCATGGGATTCTTTGACTTTTTGTTATCTAACCTCATGATTATTTTGCTGCATTCTGTCTCCCAGATTTATAGGAGGGAAAACTTGTCAGGTCCCTTTACAACAACAATTTGTTAAAAGGTTTTCTTTTTCCTTTTTTCCTTTTTTTTTTTTTTTCCTTTTTTTTCTTTTAAAGGGAAATAAATAAATAAAATGAAAAAAAAAATCCATTCCATTTATATTTTCTGTGAAAGTCCTTGCCTCATTGAAGCAAAGGCTGTGATCCCCTTGTTCCTCCATTTTCATTGCATTTGTCTTCAAGCTTTTCCACAAGTCCCACAGCAGCGTGATTTGAACTGGGTGAGCTGGCAAAGTTTGAGTTGCTTCACTTTCTCACAGTACCTTGTGGTGTCTCTGCACTCCACTACCAAAGGAGAAAGAAAAAGGAGAAACGGTGATGAGGCAATGAAAGAAGGGCTTTTTACCTAAGAGCATTTAATTGTGTTGCTGAGAGAGGGGACAAAAACAGCTTTGTACTGGGAGGTCTCACAGCGAGCACGACCTTGTCTTGCTGCAGATGTTGAGTGGGGACTTCGTGCAGCCAAAGGCTCAAAGGAGAACATGGTGGGTAGCCATTTCTTTCAGAGCATAAGGAGAGCATTCGAGAGAGCTTTTGAAGCTTCTCCAGCACTCCTGTGTCATCTACTGGCATTCTAGGGAAGCTCTAGGGTTTCCTAACAGCTGTTACATTGAAGATGCAGTTGTAAATTAAATGGAAACTTCTTTAACAGAGTAGCTCAAAGGTACTTTGTCCAATTCCATGCATTTCAAAAGAGTGTGTGGGAGTGCCTCCACGGTTGACCAGGTGTTGCACTGTGCTTTTCAAATATGTGCCAAAGAACACAGCCCAGGGTGGAGATGTTTAGATACTTTAACCTACGTTTCAAATTCCCTAGGACTTTGGTCCCTAGTATCATTCAAAAAGCTTTTGAGGCCTGCAGCCTCCCGCTTTTGAGTTGCAGGTTGGAAAACTGTCCAGTATCTCAGCCAGACCTTGTGTGCATTTTTTTATCTGATGGTGTCCCACTTTCCATATTAAGGCTGCAAAAAGGGATCACCACAGGGCAGTTATAGAGCTCATTGCAATAACATTTGTGTTTTTCTTCTTTTCTGTACCACTAGTGGACAGTTGGACCACTTTACATGGTTAGCAAGGAGATACAATCCCAGTCAGCCCCACTCAACACCACTGCCAGCAAACTGCAGTGGGCACCTTGTCTCCCGTGCTGGGATGCTGAGCTTTGGACACTGCATTTTGCATCCGTTCAGGTTGGAGAATCCCCAGGAAGCCCAGCTGTGATGCCAAGCACCACAGTTCTGGGAGATGGCTCCCTTTAGAGGACAGATAGGCCTCCTCCTGCCTCCTCCACCCCACTCTTCACATCCTCCCCTGTACTGGGTCTGGCTGGAATGTTAACTTTCCCTGCACACCACAAACCACCACATCCCCTCAGCTCAGGAACGTACTGTTCTCACAGGGCGTGATGTTGCAGCGCTGCCAGTTGGCCGGCCGTGGTCTCCAGGAGCAGTAGTGCTCCAGCACAGGCTTGTTGGTGCGGATATGCACGCAGTCGACGCGTCGGGACTGGAAGCCGTAGTTTCCGCAGGTAGCCGTACAGACGGTCCACAGGCTGACCCTCCAGTGCACACCACAGATGTCAGTCCAGCAGTTCTGAGTGCTCAAAGGCCTATGAGCAGAAGGGAAAAGGGGCCCTGTCACTCACCATGCTGCATGAGAAGCAAGCGTGTGCCACTCTGGGCAGCATGCAAGCTCTGGGGACTGCAAGCCTCGCATGTTATGAATATAATTTGTTCAGAGAACTGTTTGGAACAAGTCTTCACTGGAAGCAAACAGAGGCAAGCCTCATGCACTGAAAGGCAATTCTGTAACTACACTCAGGGATCAGACCCTCAGGTGTTGCCAGCTGGTATAGCACAACTGGAGTTAAATGACCATTTGAACAATTTGAGGGTTTGACCTAAATACCACTTCCCATTAAAAGCCAAACCAGAGCACCATTGAAAAGATGTAATGAAAGAAGTTACAGCCAGTAAAACCCATCAGAGGTTTATTACTTGCTGATGTCTGTAATCAGTGGGAAACAAAGCCATTTCTTAGAAACCCTCCTTTACTCTTTAGCCCTCTCTTAGAAGTGAAGATCATAGAAGAACATTTGGTTCTCTTCTTTTCATCATAAAGACAATTAAAATACATGATGGGGTGCCAAAGAGCCTCTAGCAGTAATTTTCAGCCATGTTTAGGCTTGATTTACGTGGCTAAATCTTATGGAAAATAAATGTTTTTATGATGTCAATAGTGGAGCTTATCTTTAGGAACACAAAAGCCGTGGAGTCCATTTTATCCAATGAACACTGTGTTTAATTGAGAGATAATTGAATATTTCAAATATATATATATTTTCTAATTTATTTTTTAAATATATTTTTAAATATTTTTAAATATTTTAATTTTATTATTTTAATATCGTTACTATTAATATTGAATATGTTAATATTAAAATAATAATTTAATTGAGAGAAGTGAAGCTTTGGCGGTTCTTTCATTACCAGTAGAGCTGAGGTAACAAATGTGCCCTTGGTCTAGGAAGAGATAGCATGGTCTTTCAGTTAGGATTTGGCATGCCTAGAAGGCTCTTCTGTTAGCTAGCATGTTTTTTTGTTTGTTTTTGTCCCCTCAAATGAATGAATACTGAAGTCTGGCCTTAAGCTTTCTGAGATTTATGCCACATAATTAAACAGGTTGCACCATTCCTTTTTGTTACATACAGAAAACACATAAAATGTCAGTTAAATCACTAGTCCATTCAAAATCTATGTGAAAGACAGTGGATTCAGTTGTATGAGATTCCTGTCCTACCTTGGCAAGGCACTGCATTGATCAGATGACACAGAAGTCCCATCTTTGGTCTGGCAAAGTATCTGTCTGTGTTGTACAGCCAGTCGTGGTCCAATGCAAGGCCCATTACACTGTGAACACAGAAAAACACTTAAGGAGGTAAAAGGCAATGTTCCCCTCTTATAAGACTGCTGGTGAAATAAAGTGCATACTGCTATACGGTGGCTATGAAGCTTTCAAGCACTTCCTGCAGCTCTGCACACTTTGGAGGCTGAGCACGCAGTCATCTTTTGTCCCAACTCACTCTCCTCCAGCAATATTAAAACTATATTTCGGTATCTGCTCTGTAGATTTATTACCCTCTCCTCTTCAATAGTTCAATCTTAAATACATCTGTTAGGGCAAATAAAATACTCTCACATCATTAGCAAAGAGCCTATGATCCATACAGGAAATCTGAATACATTCATTTTACTGTGCATTTTGCAGCTTGAACTATCACAATTTATGGGTAAATTGTTAATAACCAAGAACATATTGAAATAAGGACATATTCCACTACAAATAACATTTTAAAAGCATTGCAGAACAAGAAATGAAACCTGCAAACACAGCAGATCTGCAAGTTTGCTCCAAAAATGAAGTTATCCTAACCAGTTCAAGTGTCTCAGCTGCACGCTTGCTGTTTAACTCTTCTAATCCTCTCCTTTGATTAAACTGCAATTAGTTATTGGTCTGTAGCATGTGTTTGTGTTCTTTTAAAATTAAATCAAATGTTAGAAAGCAGATTGTTTATTAAGTATCTGGAAATTATATTCCGGAACAGACTGGGGGTTTGTTAATGTGAAGAAGGAGGAAGTTTTGGCAGGAGAGGGCTACTCTCTCTTCCACACTTCTATCTTTCTCCACTGCCCCTAGAAGCCCCATTTCACACTACCATGCACTCCTCACATCATGTTCACTTTCTGCTGCGATTTTTTCCCTTCCTGATAATTGGAAGAGAGAAGAAAGTGACTCTACTCTTTCCCATGTCTCTTGTTGAGCAAGGTAGGTGGAAATGTCATTCATTGGAATGTGTAGAACACTTCTGCATTACCTGTAGGACAAGCAGTCATCATCAGCAATCTTGAGTGACTGCTTTCAAAACATTACGTGATATATAGCAGAGCTCAAATAGTCCCCGAAATGCCACTAATATTAAATGGAAGGTGGAAAGGAAAGAAAAAGAATTAGTTCTGGAGGAATGGGGAGAGTAAGTCATCTGTTTTTCTCTGTTCTTTGGGAAAGCTAGTCACTGCACCTAGGCAATGTGGACCTGATGGCCTCTTCAGAGTATCCCATGATACTACTCAGACAGTAATTGAGACACAGAGCCACTGATCCAGTGGTACATTCCTAACTGTAATTAGATAGCAGGTAGTCTTCTGGCTTAGAGACTGAGCTGTATAGGCCCATGTGGGACATCATTTTTTTAAGTAGAAGAAATACTATATCATAATACATGGAGGTCAGGTGCAACAAATGAATTCAGATCTCTTTGATCATGTTGGCTGAGTATGATGTCATGGGGAACTGGATAAACCATAATGATCTAAAAGCAAGAATGAGGCAATTGTTTTTTTGAAAGGATAATCCAGTCCTTACCTGGAATTCCACAGGGACTGAAAATTGGACAGTTTGTTTCCTTCATAAAGAAGGATATTTCCATGCTTACTCATAAATGTAATACAATAACTGGCTTCTCTTTCATGAGAGAAATTTCCAAAATATGCAAGAAAGAGTTTAATGAAGATGTCTTCAGCTAGAGAACAAAAATAACTTCTAGTCACTGAAGATTTTTTTTCTAACAACATCATAAGAAAACAGATGAGGCATACTGTATTGTGCATGATACTCTAAGCAAACACAGAAAGCATGTGGGTATTAATAACAAACTATTTTGTTACTTTAACCTCTAACACAATGAGATAGCATAATATGAGATAACTCTCTCTCGTTCATCGTGGTATGGTATAACCCTACATGAGAGTCACCACTTTGGAGATCTATGGACTAAAATGTACAAGTTTCTGCCCCTCAGTCTGGACTGTCATGGATTCATTGACCTTCACATATGTCTCAGTCATGCTGGAGTGGAGAGAAAAAGGAGGATAGTAATGACTGGTTCTGGGTTATAATTGAATGTGTGTTGGTGAGTATCTTTTCAATAAATCCCAGCTCACAGGAAAAACAAACAAACAAACAAAACAAAACAACAAAACAAAACAACAACAACAAAAACAAACAAACAAACAAAAAAACAAAAACAAAACAAAGCAAGCTCTTCTCTGGATTCCCATGACAAGGGGATTTAACTGCAAATACTTGGAACATTTGGTATTTATGTAAAGAAACTTTTTAACATATGATCATTTCATGAAGCTGTAAGGAGAGAATTTGAAGATCTGAAAAACAGCATGAAGTAATCTGAAGGTGCTTGTATCCTCCTATTCTTCATTTAAGGTGCTTGTATCCTCCTATTCTGCATTTCATTGTGAAGCTAATCAAGAAGGCTCGTAGTTTATGAGGTTCTGAGGCAACATCAGAAACATTTTAAAACTGTATTGTTATACAAAAACCCCAAACATATCACGACCATCAGTCCTGAATCCTGACAGCCAAAACTGAGACACACTCCATGGGTGTTAAGGGCAATTTTAGACATAGAGAACGCTATTTCCCAGACTTGTAACCTGTCATTATGATGAAGATCTGCAGACACTTCTACTGTGGACAAAGAGGGGTCTGCAGTAGAAGTCCTATTCACAAGCAGATCTGGGGACTGCAGGAAGCAACAGAAACCCAAATATGCAGTGCATCAAAGCTGGAGTTCAAAGAGCTGAGCAAATTAGTTGCCTTCTCAAAAGCATGCAGACCTCTCATCTTCTGTCAGCTTTCCCCACCCCACACTATGAGGCTGTTTTCAGACTGCTGGCATGCTTCTTACCTGGCCCCAGGAGGAGGCCACCCACTCGACACAGGGTTGCTTGTTACAGTTCTGAGTGTCCACGGGGCGCTTGGACACTTGGACACAAGCCTCGTTTGACATCGGGACAGAGCTGCCTTTTGCTGTCAGTCGCTGACATGTCACTCGCCGCGTCTGGATGCCTCCACCACAGCTCCGCGTGCATGGAGACCATGAAGTTACCATCCATCTGTCAGAGAAAGGCAAGGAAGTCAGGGAGCACATACGTGCTGTGAGTGTGCTCCCTGAGGTATCATCAGTGCCAACCAGAGCTTATGTGCTGGCCCAGAGAAAGGCAGCAATAGCTTGGTTCATTTGGGCCAAGACCCTGGGAAGTGCTGAGTGCCTCAGCCTCCTATATTAGTCACTGAAAACTTTTTATAGGATGAAAGCTGGGAAAATATTATATTTTTTATTTAAGTATCTCTCTGACAGTTCTTTGGGACCAGAATAATTTTTAGTTTTGCCCTTACTGTTGTTTTTAGAAGCCTGGTAAATATTTCTAGCCCAGTCACAGGGCTTGGACATGGCTGCTCTCACACCACTATGCCACAGGAGCCTTAATCACAGGCAACAATAAGAGTCCCAGCAATGGGTCACAGGGCTTGATCACAGGTTACAGTCACAGGCTGCAGCCCATTTTCAGTCCTCAGCAGAGAAAACTGTCCTCATAAAGCTGATAGAGTAGCTTTGAGGGCACTTTGAACTCGCTGCTGACAGAGGAACCAAGAATCTGCTAATATGTGTCAGTCCCTGCCTGCTGTTACCTCCCTGACAGCTGGGATAATATCGTAAAGCCTGATGGTTGCTCAGGGATGGAGTTTGTGAATGGACAGCACAGAGACAAAGAACACATTTTTTCTTTCCTCTTGAGCTTGGACTGTGCATTTAATTGCTGAGGGTCTAATCCCATATGCTCTGGGGTTTAATAAGAGACCTGTAACAACAAAAAATAATTGTCCAGGCCCAAAATCTTACCAAGATGGACAGTACATCTTGCCTATTTAAAGCTGATTAGGTGAAACACCCATGCAGTTGGATTTGGGAAGGAGATACTGGTAGGAACAGGAAGAACACAACTGACTATTAGTTTCCTAAAGAGACTTATGGTTGTCAGCAGTTTGCTTCATTAAGTTTCAGGATACACAGCTCCTGCTGTGTATCCTGAAATATTGGGGGTGGGGGTGGGGGTGGGAAATAGTGCCTATCTCATCCCTCAATTACAATGTTTCTGGTTACTTTGTAAAATAGGCAATAGGTGTTCTCAAGCCCCATGGAGAGGCATCCGTTACTACTCCTCAGTTTCTGCAGGTGATTAATTCCTGTGGTCACAGAAACAAGCATATAAACAGACACATTCCTGACAAAGAAAACAAAGACACAACTTTTTTTTTTTTTTTTCTTACATTTGAACACATCTCCCTCATAAAGCTCTGCCCTGCATTTCAATCAACTTTTATTTCCAAGCATACATCTCAACAGTTTCTCAGGACCTGAGAGAGGAGTGTGGGTGGCGGTACTGTTCAGGAAAGGGATAAAAAGACATAAACCATTCCCATGGAATTTATGGCCATCACTGTAGGCAAACTGCTGTTAATGAGTGCGTTTCATATTTCATCAAATCTCTTTTGGTTTTCTTCTTATGACTCAGCCCACAACTCAGAAAATAGTTGCCTGCAAAAATGGGTAAGAATATATTAAGAAAAGGTAATTAAACAGGACCTTGCCATATACCCAAGACACAACTGTAGTGGTAAATCTGGCTCGTTATTTCTCATCAGGTTGCTTAGCATCTCTCCTCGCATTAGATTTGACTCTTTTAATATAAGTGCCAGTCCCAAATCACCCTGTTGAATGAGGGAAATTGTACTAAATTTCTCTTGAGATCCTGACTACCTTGTGTTTTCTTACTCAAGAACACCATGTCCACAATGGACATAAGGGAGTGGAGGGAATAAAAAATCCAGAAAAATACAGAAAAACACTTACACACATCTCAGCTAAGGAGCCACTGGATTAGAGAATGGGGGCATTTTTAACAGGGACAGAGTATAACATTAATTGGACTCTCTGGATAGACACTGGGATGTATTCTTTTTTAGACCAATGGGTGGCAAAGGAGGAAAGTGTGTTCTGCAGGGAGAAAGCTGCAGAACAAGGGAAAGACCTTAGTGTAGTCAGAAGTCTTTCAAGCTGTCATGACTCCACTGTGTTTATCGGTAATATAAAGCGAAAGATTACAGGGGCACTTAAACTGAGACAGTCTGTAAAAGGAGGCAGACCTCTGTCTGACCCTCCTCATGCCCACAAAGTCCAATGGGATGTGCTAATTTTACAAAAGACATTTCTGCTCTGCGAAGGGAATTCAGTTTTACATCTGCAGCTGCATTTCTGCCTGTTTTGACATTCAGGAAACTCAGGAACTCAGGTAAGAAACAAAGAAACAAAACCTACTATAAAGTAGCTGCTAAGTCTAGCTTCTTTGTCTGTTTTGCTGTTAGAATCAAGTCTTATGATGCCACATAGAACACAAAAAAACATATGACCCTGCAGTTCTTGGGTGATGAAACTCCTGTGTGTACAGCGCTGTGTACAGGATAGGCACCAAATTTACAACCAACACAGCCTAGAATTACCCAGGAAAACTCAGCCTATAGAAGTGTATGAGATGAGATGGGCTATGTGTGAGGATGCTGAGAGAGCTTGCCCATGTCCCTTCAAGGCTGCTTGCTATCATTATTGAAAGGTTATGGATACTAGGGAGGCCCCTGACAATTGGAGAAAGAGAAGCATTGCCACCATCTTCAAAAAAGGATGTAGGGATGACGTACATGTATAGGGAACTGGTCAGCCTTCCTGGGGTGCCTGGGAAAATCCAGAAGCTAGTCCTTGTGGTTTGTGTTTTTGTGCAAAAGGAAATGACTGTGAACAGTCTGCACAGACTGATCAAACGTAAGTCATGTCTGATGTACCTGATTGACTTCTGTGATAAAATGACCAGATCTGATGAAAAAGTGAGGGCCATGGAAAATATTTACTTGTCTCCATCAATAGTCTAATATCCAAGCTGCGATCTGGATAGGTTGACATGCGTTGAGTGAAAAATGTGTTTGATGATGAGGCTCATAGGGTGGTGATGAATTGTTTTTACTCTGCCTGAAGGTTGTTAACAAACAGGGTGTTACGGGGCTCAGCATTTGTCCCTGTTCATGTTCTTGTTGGCTCACTTCTGTCAAGCTCCCCTTGATGGCAGCTGCAACCTTGGGCATACTGAGAGTTTCCCTCCAGTTTTGTGCCCTGCCTAGATGAAGCCCTGAGCAGCCTGGCCTGAGCTCAGCCAGCCCATGGAAGCCTGTGATTCTACTTGGCCATGATGGGCATTATTAATGAGTCATAAAAGGAAAAGCAGAAAAGGTAGACTTAAGCAGAAAATATAGACTTGGACAAGTTTTCCTGTAATTCAAGATGTTTCTCCATCATCCAAAATGACAAGTACCAACAAATGTCTGGAAAATACTCTTCAGTCTTGGTGTACCATATTTCTTGTGCTGCATTTTGATCAGTTGTGAAACAATGCTGAAAACTGATAATCAAAAGCACCAATCTTTTGGGGAGCTTTGGCTTTGTGTTCAGATTTGAAATTTGCAGCTTAGACCATTCTCTAACTTCGATTTGCACATTAATTATTATTATTATTATTATTATTATTATTATTATTATTATTATTATTATCAGCCACCATATTGTTAATCACATGCAAAACTCAGAGAAAAACTGTACAGTGCTGGCCCTAAGACATGATGTCTTTTCAGAGTGAGTTGATGTGAACTCTAGGACAAGCATCTTTTCTAACTAGTCAGTTACTGGGACAACTTTATTTTGAAGGGTCCAGATTATTACTTCTGGAGCTTACTTTCTTCTGTTCACTTTCCAGTCATTGCTATTGTATGTGGAGAGTACTGAATTTATATTAATAAACCACAAAAATACTAGGTCAGTGCTTTTTCTCTAGTGAGGATCTGGCCTTGAAATGTCTGAAAATCTGCTAGTTCTTAATCGGAGGTAGGAAGACAAGTACATTGTGTTCTTTTACTTTACAGTTTCAACATACAGTAAGTACTGTCTGAAGGCCCCATTTAGGGTGAAATCTTTCCTTTCATGAAGTACAGCATTGTGCTCCCTCTCCCCATGTAACGTCAGCCCCCAGTGAAGTTTACGAGTTTGAAGAACTGGTGAGGCTTGAAATGGAAATGAAAATTTTCTACCTCATTGTAGAAATGCTGATTATTCCCACTGTCAGGGAAGAATTCAAAAGTACCATGAAGCTGTGACCTTTGCTAATAAAGAGTAAGCAGTAACTCTTCCATCCATTTCTAACATAACTACTGAAGGAGTAAACACAGTCTGTACCATTTACTGTCAACATTTTCCACAAATCTTGCTACTAATTCCCAACTGTCAAGGCTAAGCACTCATAAGTTCCCTTTTAGCCATCACTTTTCCCCAGACAGGCAGTGACAGGGCTACAATGGCATGCACTCCAGCACTAAGAACTTTTCAAGTGCACTTTAAAAGCATATATGACATTTTAACATGGTAAGGACAAACCGTGAAGGGCAGTCTCTCCTGTTGCATGCGATGGGCTGCAGGGATGGCTTGGGCTTCTCTTTGCAGTGAGATATGTTGACTTCAGACCCATCCAGTAAGCATCTGAGCTGGGGCAGCTGCACCCCTTTGTGGCCACAGGAAGCAGAACAAGCCATCAGCTTGTCCACTGACCACTGGTATTCTGCCAAAAAAAAAAAAAATGGGAGGGACACATTAACACTTAAAAACTGTCAGCAGGAGACTAACTCTCTTTTGTAACCATGCTGTCCCTCCTTCTCCCCTCCCTCCCCTCCCCCCCCTTTTTTTTATGTGCTCAGAAGCATCAGACATGGAAATTGAATGACGCTGTAGCACAGTTCAGTGATGCCAAATGACAGGTGCATGGGGCATCAGAAATCCCTGAATTTATATAAACTTGGATAATTCATTGAGCCTATTAGCTGTCTGTAAATTAGTCAGAAACTTCAGAAGGCCATTGGGAGAACGAGACCAGCAGGTACCATGGCAAGCATGTAAGCTCCTGGTATGCAGCTAAACAAGACACTGCAGAAAGCCTCGCAGCTGGTATGTGTGGTAAACGTATCTCTAATTTAAAAGATAAGAAAGTAGTATGTGTGTGAAAATAACTACCTTCTCAAAGACTTGTGAAAAAATACAAAAAAAGGAATTTTACAGTGACAAAGTAGTATGGAGCATCATTAAAAGTAATATAAGAATGATTTCATAGAATATTAAGCTCTTCAGATTTTTTTTTTTTCCTTAAATGATATTTTTAGTTCCCGGTGATTTCTCCCTATTCAGTCAGATTTTTTTTTTTTTTTTAATTTAATTTAATTAATTAATTATTGTTATTAATATTATTATTATTTTGCATTGGTTCATGAAAAAGGTGTTATTAATCCTTCTGGCAATACATCCTTTATACACTTTTCAGAAGGCTACCAATTCACTTTTTAAGGTCCCTAGATAGTTCATAAAGCTTGATCAGAATTCTTGATCTTTGATAAAAATCAAACTAGTGTAGTCTGACTAACTCCCAAGAAGCCCCCTGGTTCGTTCATTCCAGTTGATTTTGTCAAGTCATTTCATACCATGATCATTTATTACAGTGCAATTCAGTGGATGCAATTACAGAGGTCAGTAAATTTTTCATATTCCTCTTTGCAAATCTACTCTTAAAACATATTTTAAATGAACTTTTAAACTCAAATAACAAAATAGTGGTGGGAAAACATGGCATCTGCAAAGAAGACACAATTTGGCCTTGCCTTTCACTTTTGTGAGAGCTTTGAGACTGAGATAGAACTGAAGACACATGCTCAGTGTATTGCCAAGCATTAAAATGACCCATCCGTTTTCACTTGTCACATGAAGGACTTTCTGAGTCTTCTAGAAAGCCCTTAGACCCCCTCATTGAAAAGTTTGGATCACCCCAAAGTAGGAGAATGAAAGGAAAGAATGGGCTTATAATCTGTTTTAACACCTTAAAGGTACACTTACAAATTCAGAGCTATGTATTCAAAAACACAGTGTACATTTTCATTCTTAACCATTTATAATTGCAAAGGGGTATGATTTAGTGAAGGACATTTCTCACCATGTAGATTACTGAGATCATCCATTCTGAAATTGAATGAAGGAGTCGCAACACATTTTAAGTTTTATTGCGAAAATTAAGAAAAAGTTAAATTATTTTCCACTCCACCACCGACAACTGCAGAAATGAAAGATGCATATTCTTTTCCAACCCATCCACACTGCTCTGTTCAGTGACTTTGTCACCGTCACTTTATTTCAAGGATAAAAATAACAGTGACAGCAGTTTTACAAGCAAAGGGTTTTCAAGCAAGAAGAGACTGTGTAACAGTGACTTGAGAAGATTAACAGCAGGTTTTCTAATTTTAAAGGTTTGATCTGTGGCACCCCTGCCTCAAATTTCTAGTTGACACAGCAGCTATAAATATAGCTTGAATTATCAAGGTGTGCTACATGCTCAGCAGGCCAGAAATATCAGATGATCAGATGACATTTTGGGAAACTGACACTGCGAGTGAAACCTAGGACATTGCAAGTTATTTGCTAGGCCTGCAAATCTATATCTATGGTGGTAAAACATCAAAACACCAATTTCCTGCTGTGCTTCACAGCCCCGGATTCAGAGACAAGAAATACAGGATAAGAAAAGCAATGCAGGGAAGTCAATGCCAAGAGCTTCATGGGGGAGAAGGACTGAAACCAGAGTTACCTTGAATTGTCAGGGAAGTATTTTGTATGAGTGAGCCAGCCTCATTCTGAGCAAGACAGCTGAATTCACCTTCAGGAGCATCACTAATGTTGAATATCTGAAGAACTCGTCCTGCTGCCAGGAGGTGATGCCTCAGACTGAGAGGCTTGCCAGAGTAAAGCCAGGTGATGTTTGGGGTTGGATGGCCATCCACAGCACAACCTGAAAATAAGGATATGAAATAAACCTGCTGAGTATTGAACTTGTTGTAAAATTATGTGCTCTGAAGAGAGCAAAATTAAAGGAAAAAAACACTTCATTTTTTTCCTAATTTTCACATAATGAAAAACACAAATATTGTAGTAGTGAGTCCCTTCTCATCAGCTTAAAAAACAAAAAGAAAGAAACAAACAAACAAAAAAACCAAACCAAAACAACAACTCCAAAAAGCCAGTTAATCAGCAATATGAAAATCTCAGATCAGTTCAGAAATATTTATATCAAGCTTTCTAAGGTTCCCATTAATTTAAATCATTCTCATTTCAGTATTCGGGAAAGTGGCAGAATGAAGTTACACACCTAGCATAAGCTCAACAAACATTTTTGAGCAAGCAGTACAAAGAGAACTTGCCCTCCAACTCCTCTATTTTAGCCACAGGACCACCTTTCTCTCTCTCTCTCTTTTTTTTTTTCTTTTTTTTTTTAGTGTTTTAAACATTAGAAGTTTTATTTACACAAAAGTTATCACAATTTTTTCATACAATTTTCATTAAAAATGTTGAGAAAACAAAGACAGAATTCAGCTTTTAGAGGTTGTTTATCTTAGTGATGAGCAATTCTTCAATCCAAACCAATCAAACCAAGCAACTAAAGAAAATTGGCAAATCTGTAGCATCATTTGGGAGTGCATACTGATCATCAGATCAACTAATGAGGTTTCATGGTGAATTCTTTGCCTTTTGAACTAATGGAATGGGTGTATCTGTAAGTTATTGTTTCCTGTAGTCCTCCTACCAGCTGCACACTTTGCTGGCTTCAGTGATGAACTGTACACAGCAGATATTTTGTGAGACTTGATAATCGATGGAAAAATAGATGTGTATCAGAGGACAGATAGATAAGTTACCTTGTGTATTTCCTGGGGGAAAAAGAAAGAACTGGACTATTGCCATGATGTAAACCATCTGCATTGACTTCAGGGATGGGGAACCAGAAAAGCCATGCTGAAGGGAACCTGTATGTTATTTGGACTGCTTGAGAATTATGCTTGTCCTGCACCTCCAGCATCTCTCTGATACATAAAAGGTCTGGTTAAGTTTTTAGGGGTGCAGTCTACACTGGTTGTTATCTTGTGGTACAGCAGCTTTATGCTGTTCTGTTCATAATACTTATGTATAATGAATCTCTTTTGTCCTTTTGTTTCTGCAGTGTGGACCCTTTCTACCCTTGTTTTGACCTTAGTCACTACCCTTCAGTAACACTAGGAACTGGGCTGCAGTATTCTTTACTTATCTGCCTTTTGGCACTAATCATACCTCCACGTACACTAACTCTGTAGCAGAAGATGCTGCCTTGCACATGAGAATCAAAGTTTGCTTGCTCATACAAATGAGAAGAATTCATTCAAGGTGGAAAAAGCCAGTGGTGACTGACCCATGCATGGCATGTCACAGATAATTACATGCCGAGAGACAGATCCAGGGGCTGCAGAGGGGGTCTTCACAGTACCTATGTCTACGTCTCAGGCTGTCTGCCACTCAGAAGAATGAATAGTGGGCCTCTCACCAGTACACTAGCCACACGTGGCTCTGTTCCTCATGCCCTGCCTGCAAGCTCTATGAGGCAAGGCGTTGGTTAGACAAAACTTCCCTTTAGGGCTGGTTCACTCTTTATAAAATACATATTAGTGAGTGCAAGGATTCCCCAGCAGAAGGCACATAGGGTACACATTAGCCTGTGCAGTTGCAATGGTAATGTTTTACTGTCAAAGGTCAGGTTAATACAGCTAAATCTCAAAAAAGAAACAAATAAAGAAAAAAAATGAGATGAAAAAGGGAGAATGAGAGACTGCTCATTGCTCACAGAGATCACTTCACTTCCTGTGTTCCCCTTTTATTTATAAGGGTGAAGAGTCTTTGCTTTTTCTTTCACTTTCCTTGGCAAAGTCTAATGTAGTTTTATCCTTGGCAGCTCTCTTCCTAACATTACATTTCCACTGCATTTGCTTCATTTTACCTTACGCCTTTTGTCCTTTCTAAGTACTGATGTTTTTTCCTTCTCTTGTTCTGAGAAACAACTTACCCAGTTTCCAGGAGATATTCATTCTCCACTAAATGAGAGATGTGAAAGGTATCAGCCCAAATGGTTTAAGGTTGTGTGAGTTAAAAGCAATAGAAAACAAAGCAATACTCAGGAAATGGACAAACAGTAAGTGGCCATATTATTTTTCCCTACAGTATTCTAACTTTTTATAGTTTGCTCAACTTGTAAGATAATTGAAGCGGTTTTCACAGGTCAGCATATAGCCATGACAACTGACAAAGACATGCTGTGAATTCAGTTTTACTGTTGGCATTTGCAAACGGTTTGAGCAGGATAAATGAAGAAAGCAGAAAGGTCAGTTTGACATTAAATGCAGAGGACCTGAAATTGATTTCAGTGTGCAACTAGTTCTAGTTCATGCCTTTTCTTTTAAAAATTTTATTGCCAAGCAGACCCATATAGTCTTCCTGTTAATATTTCACTGGTCTTGTATACTATTTCTCCTTTCAAAATGTGTAAATAGAATACTAGCTAAAGGATCAGCCAGCAATAATAATTTGGGGGGGGGGGGGGGGGGGGGGCGGGAAGGAAAGGGGAGGGGAGGAGGGAGAGGGGAGAACAAATTCTGTTCCCTCAGTATGTTTTACCAGTAAGTAATTATTACATTTTTTCACATTTAACAATAAAACTTTACTAACACCTAAGAGACTCATATGTAATGGATACGCCTTATTTGTCTATGCAGAACAAGAATCATTCACATTTCACAAGTGACATTTTCTATGTTTCCCACATTTAGGGACGCATAAGCTATGGGATAATGTTTTATTCATATTAAGTGAGAACCATAGTACAATAAAAAAATATATCTTCCATTAATACCCATTTTAAATCTCCCAGGAAAAATTTAAATGCAACTTAATGCAGATTAACAACACATATTCTCTACTTCCTTCCATTCCTGTGGACACTGATGGCTTTATCCTTCCAAAGCTCAACACTCAACATCTGTCCCTATAATAAAACAAACAGCCTGAGGAGGAAAAACTGGCTTTATTTCCAAACAGCCCAGCTATTGAAGAGTGCTAGTATGTCAAGACACCTAGGGAGATGGGGAGGAGAATTTTTTTTGGGACTAGTTCTGAGCAGTGGAAGTTGTAGCATGAGAGGGACCTTCTTCAGTTCTTACGTAGAGAAAGAAAATACTGCCTTCAGCCTTCCTTTCAAAGTCTGCCATGACTCTGAACTCATTCAAAGCCAGAATGAGTCACAGATGTGCAAAATTTGGACAAACAAACAAAAACCTAATACCAATTGCATCTTTTAGCAGGAATTATGTTAATATTTCAAGGATAACAAGGGTGTATTTGGAAAAGGAAGATCAATGTTTCACAAGTCTAATAATTTCTCGAGAAGAAAGAGCAAATGTAAAGTGTAGATGAAATTGAAGTCCCCATTATATATTTGTGACTTTCATTGTAGGACTGTAGCCACAGAAAGACTCTGGGCTACTGCACAAAGAATAAAATATGTAGCATGCATACTCCCATTGCTCACCCACACACTTGAATGACAGAGACAAAGAAATGTGAATGCTGTTGACTCTAGAATTCCTTTTAGCAGGCTGCTAACTTAAGTCAGCAGAATTGCATCACAAAAATGGCAAATAAGTTATGCACTAACCTAAACATAGTTTGTTAAAGGAAAAAATACAAAGCTGTGTTTCAGAATTATACCTATTCTTTTAAGAATAGATTTTTGTCATGCATTTGCATTTGTCTGACAAATAGTTCTGAAATTTAATTAGAGAAAAAGAGAGAAATTTATCTCCCTCCTGTACCTAACATAAATGGCAAAATTTGATGGGAGTATTGGAAAAGATTCTTCATGGAGTGGGTGGTTGGGCACTGGAACATATTTCACAGGGAAATGGTCATGGCACCAAGTTTGCTGGAGTTCAAGAACTGTTAGGACAATGCTCTCATACATACGGTTTAATTTTTATGTAGTCCTGTGTGGAGCCAGGAGTTGGACTCAATAATCTTTGTATGTCCCTTCCAACTTGGGTTATTGCATGATTGTATGAAATTTTAAGCAAATGCAGGTAAGGTAAGATTATGTCTGAAAGTCTTGCAATCCCTAAGCAAAATCTGTTTGCTGAAGTGCCAAAACTAAGAGACAAGCCTTTACAGTTCTTCTTAAACAGTAAAGATTTGTTCATATAGTAAGCAGAAAGTGTAAATTTAAACTGACATTGTTAATTCTGGTTGTTATGAAAATTTTTATGAAATATACTTCTCAATGCTTTCATGCAGTATATAAAATAAAACTCACAAAGGGTAATGCGATCCTGCAAATCCCCAGAAAAAAGGATCAAGGTTAATGTAAGTATAACCTTTGTTTTTAATAACTGAAAGAAATCCAAATGAACATGAATTTATGCTAGACAAGGAAAGACATGTATTTAGGAATTCTTGAAACATGCTAATTCAATTGGTGACAGTAGAATTAAAAAAAAAAAAAGGTATTAGGTATTTTAAATAACTATTTAAGGCTCCAACGAGCAGTTGAAACTTACTATATTAAATATATGACATGGCTTTTAAACTGTTTTCAAAACACCTAAACTAGTTACCCAATGCCACACATGTTGATGTTATTAGATATCATTTACGTAGCATTTTAAATCTACACCATATTCAACAAAACCTGTTAGGCCCATTCCTTGCCTCAGAGAAGCTGTAAAAATGTTCCCAAATATACGTGGTGAGCCCATTAAAAAGCAAGGGAACTTTCAAACTTCAGTAAAAGAGCTTGTTTTCTAATAAGAACTCTGAAAATTAGAATCCTACACACTAATACTCTTGTATGACTAAGAATTGGGATGAAAATAATTAGGAATGGTAAAAATAAAAATAAATAGAAATTATGAAAACAGTGCCTACAAGAATGGACACAAT